GGTCTCGCTAAGTCATTAAATTACCTGGGCTGGGCTCCAACTTATGATCCTCTTGCTTCCACTTCCCAGAGTGCTGGGATTATAGGCATCCAACACCATGCACTTGGTAATCACTCACTTTTATTATCAGCTTCCCCTCAAACCTAGCTCTTTCATAATTGCTTCAGTGACACTTTGCCCAAGAACATCCTATTCCTTGTCCCAGGAAAAGGGTAGTGTAACTCCTGAAGGTCCAACATCTTGGCCTTGAGGGCTCAATTCTCCAGGTGTGAAGTAGGGAGCCCTCTCTCTTGGGAGCACTGCAAAGAAGGCCTCATCCTCAGTTTTCCAAGCAATGATAAAGTTTATAGCCAGCAAATCTGGTGACTACTGTACTGGAAACATATTTATCACAAAGTATAGCTAAATGTTTCTGAGAAAATAACTTTTTTAAATGAAAATGCTTTTGGAAAATAAATCAAACCAAATAAATGCTTCTGGGAGATTCTCTGCAGCACAGACCCTAGGAAGAACAAAAAGTAATCAATAAGTTGTCCTCCATAATTTCCAGGTCTGGGACTTTAGACAAACCACCAAGGAAAGCAGCCCTGATCAGGGGCATTGTCCCTCAGCCCTGTGGCCGTGCTTTTATTTCATGGGTTTCTAAAATAAGGCTCAAGTGATAATTCAACAAAGTGGAAGGAAAGTCCTTTGGAACCACATTCCTTCTTTATGAGAGGTGACTGGCAGCCAACGAATCAGAAACTGGCCGTATCACAGTTCAACATCTCACACCTGACCAAAGCTAAGCCAGTCCCTAGGAGGAAGATGCAGGTAAGACAATTTAAGCTCATCTACAGGGCAGCCTGGTGTTAGGAATATCTTGAGCTGCTAATTCATGTGTCAAGTTCAACACAAATCAGCACATCATGTTCTGGGGCTCAAAGGAAGTTAATGGTTTTACTTCTAAATTATAGGCATGGCTATTGTACTTTGGAGAGTAGGTGGTGTTTATATTATGCTGGCTTCTTTATTTTAGGAACAGGGCAATGCCATGTGTTCCTGCATATATTCCAAATTGCTCTGTAAATTTTTTATTATATATTCAGGCTGAGGCTGTGCCCCCAGATCTCCAGCTTTTTGCAAGCCTCTGAGGGTCTTAGGAAAGACCTTAGGGCCAGAAGAATCTTTTCTCTCCCTTCCTGGCCTAGTGCCTGAAATAGCCACCATGAAAATGCTTCTGATAGATAAAAAAAGGAGAATAAACTTCATTGTGAGCAGTAAGAGAACATGACATTTGTGGTCCATTTAACATGCACTTCTCTAACAAGTAAGCTCTAGAGGAAGATTTTTGATACCAAGAATTGAACTCAGGACCTTGTACTTGCCAGGCAGGTGCGGCACCACTGAGCTAAATCCACAGCCTTACTAGAGGAAGTCCTGGCTCACAGAGTAAAGCCAGAATGTTGATGCTGAACATAGTGATGGAATCAGCACATCTGTTGTGTATGTAGACTCTGACATTAGAATAACAAGGTTTAGAATCCGGCACCACCATCAATTATGGTATTTAACCTCCCTCAGCCCCTACTTATCTGTCCTTAAAATGAAGTTTATTAGTCACTTTCCTACTGCTGGGATAAAATATCCAACACCCACAACTTAAAGAAGAGGTTGAATTTTGCTTACAGTTTTGGGGTTCCAGCCGATGGTCAGCTGGTTTCAAGGCAAAGTAGAAGGGCCTGGTAGAAGAAAGCTGCTCATGTCACGGTGGCCAGGAAACAGAGAGAGAAGGAAGGAGCCCCACAGGGAGATACACCCTCCAAAGGCATACCTCCAGTGACATACTTCTTCCAAGCAGGCCCACCCTTAACAGCACATTAGGTGTGAACGTATAAATGGTTCAATCTCCTGATGATACAGTGCCCCATGAACCCTTGTGAACACTTGAGACTTGTGGGAGACGTTCTAGATCTAAACCATAATATGAGCATTCCTAAAAGTAATCGCTATAGTAAAAGATAGCTATCAGCCACATAGTCCACACAAATAAGATTGTCAGTGAAGGGGACAAATGGGTTAGAATTCTTCTTCTATGACTCAGAAAGAGGATGGTAGTATGGAAGGGCACCGGGCTTCCCACGTTCTGGCTGTCTAACCTTCAGGCACTCTCAGGACCAGCTACATAACTGGTAGGGAACAGTGCAAAATGAAAATGCAGGGACCCTTTTAAAAACTTATTTTTTATATAAAATGGAGTACTATTCAGCCATAAAGAATGAGAAACTAGTCACTTATAGCTAAATGGATGCATATTGAGGCCATACTCTTAAGTGAAATAAATAGGACACACGTGTAAATACTGATTAGTTTCTCTAGTGTGAGAAACTGAAAGTATAAATAAGGATTACAAGGATTAATAACAAATAATTGATACTTTGAAATAGGAAAAGGTCCAAAGGGGTAGGGGTGGTGGGAGGGGAAGGGGAAGGAAAGAAAAGAAAGGAAAAATTATGAGAAAAGAAAAAAAATGGAAATGAAATCTATGTAAATAGGGAAGGGTGGAGGGATGAAGGGCGCACAGGTAATGGGGGAAAAAATAAGAACCAAGATACATCATGTACAGGTACAAACACCCAATGATAAATGTAAATGTACTGTACACCTAAAATGTACCAATAAAAGGATTTAAGGAAAAAAATTATTTTTTCTTCAAGTCTTTTACTTTTTAATCTAATACTGTAAGTTTTAATTGACAGCTAATTTATGGAGCTCAGTATAAAATTCTAATACAAGTCAGTAATTGGCATATCCTGTGCCTCTGACATTTATCACTGAATATGCCCCAAATCCTCCCTACTACCTATTTTGAATTATATAATTAATTGTTGACATTTTACTTACTAATAATTATAAACTCTCGATCTTACTGTGCTACAGAACATTAGATGCTATTCCTCCTCCTCAACTGCACGCAAGTACCCACTAGACCTCCTCTCCATCTCCCCACACCACCCTTCCCAGCCCCTGGCAATTGCAGTATTATTCTGGTCTCTACTTCTACTAGATCCCCTTTTTAGTTTCTCACAATAAGTGTGATTGTGATACTTATCTTTCTGTGCCCATCTTATTTCATGTTAACATAACGTCCTCCAGTTCTATCCATGTTGCCATAAATAACCTAGTAAAAATTTTTAAAATAATTTTAAGGTGACTATCACAGAACATTAAACAAAGTGCCTGCTCCTCTAAGTAGGGAACCTGTGCAACTGTACAAGTGACGCAACTATGAAGACAGCCCTTATTGGTCCTTTCACCTGGATCACAGCCTTGGTTTCATTGCAAGTGATTAAAAACAATGAACATCATTCATCTGACCACCACAGGTCCCTGCTCCTACCCCAGTACCTTCAGAGATGAACAATGGCTGACATATTACCACATGTTTAAGAGAAAAGAGAAAAACCAAACACCCACAATGATGTGTAAGTATACATTTATTATAACTAAGCATACAGACAGCAAGCAAACACTGGCCTCCTTTGATTTATATAAAGGGGTACTAAGGGAACTTTCCTTTCTGTCTCTCTTTTTTTAACTGAACTGCTTCTTGGAGTACCAAATTATGTATGGGCCTTGCCTGTGTTTCAAGTCCTCTCCTCAAAATAAGAATGATCTCTGTAACTATAATGTCAGCAAAAGCAACAATATCAGAATAAATAAAAATGCAAAAGCACAAGTACTTCCATCTCACAATTACACATTGGGGTTCTTCTCTCCTCCTCCGTAGAAGCAGAACTTGGAAAACAAATTTATATGTATCCACTGTCTTAAATAAATGATTGTTCAAGGAAGATAGTCCTGGAAGGGTTACTATCTCTAACTCCCAAGCAGTTTTTTATCTGCCAGGTGGAGCTCTGTGACTGTTAGAGAAATTGCTCTTAAATGTATAAAACACATAAGAGAATTTTTGAAAAACCCCTTATTATTCATTAAAGTATTTTAGGGCCTCATTAATTCAGACGGGATAATCGGTTGTTGATTAGCCAGGTTGTTAAGCATCCATTGTCAGATGTGATGGGGTGTAAGAAATTACATTTTGTTGGGGCCGGGGATTTAGCTCAGTGGTTTCACCGCCTGCCACGCAAGCACAAAGACCCGAGTTTGATCCCTGGTACCAAACTAAAAAAAAGAAATTACATTTTGTAGCCACCAAAGAGTCACTTGAATGCCATTACCACCTCATCAAGTTAGGCGGTATCTTCCGGGGATAAATTAGCTGGGTTTTTATTCTCCAGTCTTTTCTTCCATCTTCCAAATTTCCTTGCATTGCAAAGCATTCCTCATTCACTTTAGTTTCTCTTACCTAGCTAAGGTCTAGAGTTCTGTCCAGAGCCATTTACAAAAGCTTGTGGATGACAAGGAGGTCATACTTATGCTGTATTGTGCACTGTATTGTGTGTGTGTGCGTGCGTGTGTCTGTACTTGTGTGTGTGTGTGTGTGTGTACTTAGTTTGGCTTTAGTTTGGTTTCACAGTTCATAGCTAGAGCTTCCTTCACACCCTCAACCCTTCAAATCCTAGTATTAGGGTCATCAAGAGGATTCTTCTGCACGCCTCAAAGAATCCGCTTTCTTTCCATACCTTGACTGACTGAGAGTAATTTAACAGCAATGAGCATAATGAGAAAATTCCCTGGATTAGAGGTTGGAAAAAATGATTCAGAGTCCTGGTTCTGTTTTCAGAAAGGAAGTGAATGTCACTAGTTATCTGCTTTCTATTCCAGCACATCATTTCATCTTCCTGATTGTTTGCAATTTATTTTCTCTCTAACAACAAAGCAACATTAATATTTATCCTGAGTATCATAACAAGAAGAATTAGGACTGTATTTCTATAAAAAAACAGATAAGTACCCAACTCTCCATGGAGCTTCAATCTCAAAGGGACAGAGTGCTCCCAAAATTGTAGAGGTTCCTCCCCCAAGCAAATCTTCCAATAAAAGATGCCTGTTTTACTCACGGAACTGCTCCAGATGGTCAGCACAATTAGACTCAGGCATGGCTGTGATGGTCACCAGTGGACATGGATTCCCACCCAGTGTCTGGCAGAGAGTGGCCTGCCGGAAGTAGATTTTCCTGGGATTGATACTTTTTTCCAAGATCTCAAGGTGAGTCTGGAGGAGAAGTAAAGCAAGAATGTATATTATCAATATTTTATATAAGAATAATAGTGAAGAGCAATAACAGCTCACATTGCTTAAATCCTTATGGTTTATAAGTAGTTTTGTACTTAGATCTGTGTGATATTAGGCATTGAGTGATTAAAAGGGGTCTATTAATACCTGGGCATGGGGCCGGGGATTTAGCTCAGTGGTTTTGCTGCCTGCTGTGCAAGCACAAGGACCTGAGTTCAATCCCCGGTATGGGAAAAAAAAAATAGCTGGGCAAGGTGGCACATGCCTGTAATCCTAGCACTCTCTGCAGCTGAGACAGGAAGATCCCAAGTTCAAGCCCATCCTATGCAAGTTAGGGACTTCGCAAAACCTTGTCTCAAAATTTATTTTAAAAAGAGAAAGAAAGAAAGAAAGAAAGAAAGAAAGAAAGAAAGAAAGAAAGAAAGAAAGAAAGAAAGAAAGAGAAAGGAAAAGAAAAGAAAAGGACTGGAGATGTAGCTCACTGTGAAGTCCCTGCATTCAATCTCCAGTACCATAAATAAATAAATAAATAAATAGTGTCCATTCCTGCTGCCTAGAAGTTTAGGAAGGTTGAACAGGAACCATCATTGAAAGCCAGAAGCAAGGACACAAAGCACACTTCCCACACATAGGCACATAAAGGGTGTGGTGGTTACCTTGAAGACAGAGCATAACCAAAGCACTGGGAGCTGAGACAGAGCTTCACCAGCACAGAGTACAACAGGACCATGCAATAAAGGAGAGTTGTGATCACACTGGAGAAAGTCAAAAGCATCTGACCCTGGGGGATGGCTGAATTAACACAGCAGCTAACTACCAACAACTGACGTTTCCATACCATACCTCCCCATTTAAATGCTCATTAGAAACACAGAATAATTGGAAAAATGGAATAGCTATTGAAACCAGGACATCTGTTAAACAATCCTTCAGACCTCTTAAGCCATTTTCCCTAACTTGAACACTGGAACTAGTCATAAACAAGCAGAGATTTCCCTGCTTAGCCTCTGCACACCCAGCCACAGCCACCTGCTTACACTGGCTTCAGTAACCAGGCAGGGAGAGCCATCCTTCTGCAGTGGAACATCAGCACACAGAAATTATCCTCCCAGCTCATGATTTAAAGTTTTCATCGAGGTATTAATGGGGCCAAGGAAAAACTACTCAACTTGTTCCTCTGCACTTAGTAAGCCTACTACATAAATGCGACAAAAGCAGATACAATCTTACGAAAATATTTATAAAACATTCACAAATATCTTATGAACAAGAGTGTAGCTCCCTCAAAAGGCAGAGGAAGTGTTTACGTGTGGGAAAGATTTACTACAGACGTAGTGGGCAGAATTATGATCCCCCAAAGATGTCCATGCTTTCAACTTCAGACTTATAAGGAGACTATCTCTCCTAGGTTCAAGATAAATGAGAATTTAGCTGATGTTTATGTGTGTGACCTGTGTACTGCATCATTTTGATTATTCTCAGAGTAACAAGTCCCAAGTATTGACAGATGTGCCCATGCTAGAAATTGGGAGGTGGCCACATGCCTGTGAGGAGACACTGTAGCTAAATTGAACATGCATAAACACACATCACGAAAGGTTCTGGTAGCTAGGGCTGAAGGACCTTCAGGGTTGATAGCTTTTCTAGGTTGAGATGGTCCACATTTAGAGAGTATCATCTCTCATGACCACACAATTCCTTTAGGAAGAGTGACTGGAACAAAGTAACATGTGCTTGGGAGTCCAATGACCTTGACTAAACCTTCTGTATGCGTGCTGTGTTGCTGGCTTCTGCCATCCCTGTATTCTTTCTATATTCTTTATGAATTTCATTCTCAAGAAAGCCTAGGCTTATGCGGCTGATTCATTCTAAACCCAACACCACTGTTCTTTGAGCAGAATAGGGCTTGCATGTTCCCAAGGGGGAGGCCCTGTGAGTGTGTTTGTAAATACACCTACTGTAAGTATATCTGTACACAAAAATAAGCCATTCTTGGCTCACACTTCCTTCAGCAACACTACATGCCAGAGGAAAGGGAGCAATGCCTAGGGTTTGAAAGGAGAAAGGATTATAATCCTATACACCTATATTAGCCAAGTTTTTATTCAAAAATAAATGTAGCACTCATGTTCAGATATGCAAAAGCCCAGAAAACATATCATCTTTTCTCTATTGAAAATAATGACTTGGACACATATGTCAGTTGCCCCAAAATCAAGCTAAAGAATAATGTAAGAGGATTTTAATAAAAATTCAGTTAAGTCTAAATGAATATTTAAAATATGGTTATTGAATAAAGCAAACATAAATTATTTAGGAATAAAGTACATATTGTCAAAATTTGATGTCATCACAGTTTAAAAGTGAAATTAGAGAGATATGTGAGGAAGGATAAATTGAAACAAAATGTTAACTGTTTCAACTTGAAAAGATATAATAATAGTACTTAATTCTTGGAAACAGAAAGGCAGAAGAGCAAGAAGGCTAAGGAAGAGGGGAGATGTTTGTCAAACTGCCTGAGGTAACATTCTGGCTGTGGATTCTGGGAAGGCTATGGAAATTCTTTATTTAAGCTCTTTATGACTCAGTTTTCTTGCCTTTAAAATGAGTATAAACATACCATTACATAACTCATAGTTGTATAATTTAGTTATATAATGGATGCAGAAAGGATGTGTCATGTAAGACACACTCCATGTTAGCTGCTGTTGTTGATGGAGAAACATAAGTTCAAGTATGCTGTTTTTAGGAACCCAAAGGGAGGCACTAGTAGAGTAATAAATACTTGAGGGAAAAACTCAAAGAAATATAGACCATGTTGCATAAGAAAATGAAAGAAAAGAAAGACATTAACAAAGCATCAAAAAGAGCATAAAAGCAAAAGGACAGGAGTAATAAAAATGGCTAAAAGTATAAACAATTTAATGAGTCTTATTAAATGACAAAAAAACTTCAGATTACATTTTTTAAATTCCAGTGCATGTTGTCTCTAAGAAATAAGATTAAAGAGGCCTACTGACTATGAGAAGCACTTCTATATTATTTTTTCATTTTACTTGCCTCTATTCAAGCATTTTAAGGGAGAAATATTGAAACTAAAAGGATAAGCAAACATAAATTAAAGCAGGCATGGCAACAGTAATATATGACAAAGTCATATTCAGGATCAAGTACATTAAATGGAATTTTTAAATCTTATTTAGATAAATGGCATGATTCACAATGAACATATAAAACCCATAAATCTTAAGAATCCAATAACATGGGATTAAAATGCATAACACAAAACAGCAGAAGGTGACAAATTATTGTAAGAATGGGAAGTTTTAAGAAAGCATCACAGTACTCAAAAAAATGACACAGAACATTTTAATGCTATTGTTTAGATGTATGTCAAACTTTGTCTTTAAAGAGAGCATCTTTTATTATATTTTCCTCAAAAACTCATAAAAGTATAACGAAAATTATCATATATTGTTAAAAATTCACTATATGCTTTTTAAAAAGGAGAAGTTGTACAAACCATATTTTCTGACAATAAAAGAAACCAGACAAGTAAAAAAAATGATTTTAGTACAAGTTGAAGAGAAAATTAATCTTAAATTATTAATTAAAACACTCATATAAGAGGAGGGCACCTGGGTGTTCCAGAACAAGAATGGAAATGTCTCCACCCTACCAGTAGTGTTTCCAAGGCATCTTAGAAAGCAGAAATTAGTTACAGATAATGGATAATGTTAGATTTCGATTATATTCATTGTGATCATGAACAAATTACATTTTATCACTTTCATACATTTCTGGTGAAATCTGCTGTTATGATGCTTTTTATGGAAATCTAGACTAAGTAGATCTTGCTTCATAACTCCTATCAAGATCTCAGGCTCCAAAATTAAAAAAGAAAAATGATGCAGCATTCTCCAAAGGCATCCTGCAAGATGTCAATAAGTGCTGGGGTAGGGGTGGGGTGAGAGAGAAGGCAAGAAATCTGTACCAAACCATTTGGAAAGTGGAAAGTTAATAAAATGAGGATATATTATGATGGTAGGGTTTCTCTTAGTTTTTAATATGCCAATATACATTGTGAATGCTTAGGAGAAAAACTAGCAGACAGTGCTTCATGAATTAATATGGCCATTAAACACTTTTTCTCTAAAGATCTCTGGAAACTGGAGTGCTACAGAACAGGCTTTGGAAAACAGTACCTTACAAATTTGCCTCTATGAACTTAATCTCTTTCTTTCTCCTCCCCACTGTCACCCCTTGCTCATTGCTATTTATTTCACATTTTACTATGGCCACAAGAGTTCATACTGAGGGGGTGTTAGTGTGATGGTGGACAGCCTGCTTAAGAATTGAGTCTTCTGAGAGAAGCTGAGCCAGTCCTAGCACCAAGAAGGAAGCTCCCCAACCACCATCCCAAGCTCCTAGGGCAGAGAAGCTGAGCTGGTCCCAGCAACCAGAAGGAAGCTCCCCCGCTACCATCCCACGCTCCTAGGACAGAGAAGGTGAGCCTCGTGGGCACCAGAAGCATCCCCCTCCCACCCCATGGAAATGAGAAGACATGTAAAGAAGCCTCAAAAACAGACTTCCAGATGACCTACAGCAACTCCAAAGGGAAACAAGATGGAACAATCTGATACTCAACCACCTGGACTCTCTGAACTGGCAACAAAAGAGGATCTGGGAAAAATGAAATCAGAAATAATTTCTC